AAGCCGTCCGCCACACGAGTGTCTCGTCCCGCATACATTCTGTCACAAATGACGAATACTTGTCCAGAAGCTATAGATAGCGATCCTATGTGAGATCCGACTGCAGTCCGTAGTGGGCAACCAGTGAGAAGTCCATTCCGGAAGGTAGCGAGCAATACTGTGAATGTTGAACAAACCTGCAGGTAGTTCCATGCAGTTGGCGTAAAGGAGTCCCTCCTCCGGAGTCATCAATTAAGTCTTAGATGAGCTTTATCCGAAGGTCACATGATTTGGTCATACCAGGACAAAGACCCGAGAAAGCGCCATGTTGGAGCGGCTGATAGTACCGGATCCTGGAGGTATGGCTTCCATGGCGAATAGGCACCGGTCAATTAACCGGGTTGGGCCCCTAAGTGTAACCCGCAGGTTGCGGAGCATATACCTTGTATTTTCATTGAAGACGGACATCTTGGTCCTCGGGAGGCGGAGCACCGCCTGGACCGAATATTCCATGAAAGACCTGAAACTGGGTTGACTTGGAGTGAGTCAGATTCAATATGTCCATGTTGATGGCAAAATCCATGCGGGTTTCTCTCATGTGCATTTGAGGGAGAGAACCAATCGTCAATGCCGAGCAGCTCTCAGAGGGGATGGGTGCCCTCCGTCTCAAAATGTGTCAACAGACGACATGCACTGGGAGCATGTAGCGTGGGGATGGGGCGGGAGTCCACTCCATCGCACCCTTTGCCCAGCAGGGCAACTGCGGAATGAGTCGGAATGGATGCCTCTTTTGGTCATGCGTATCGCTCATGGAACGGTCCAAGGTTCCGCAACCTTGATCTGGAATCCGGGCACGGTCCGAGAGACCTCTGGGGCTAGTTAAGGGGGAACCCTATGAATAGAGACGTGTCGGCTCAATTTTGTACACGAGGGTAACTCCGGACAGCAGACCCAGCACTTGGATGCTAAATCCATCAGTTTGATGTCCAGCTTGGACAGGGGCCGTTTTGCGGTTCTCAGGGGTAGAAACCAACTAGGCGATACCTATAAGTCATATCGGTCCATTCCCAGTGGGAATTTAGTCTTCTCCGCTTTCCAAGCGGTAACGCGCCGTTCGTCCCGAGGAAACATCTGTGTCCGCGTGTCACCGACATCCACTGGTTAGTCACCCTCAGTCTGAACATAATCGGACACTGTAGGTACAGTGGTGCGGCCAGCTGGGGGTCACCCAGCGTGCAAGAGGGGGTCACCCAACAAGCACAAGCATACCATGCAGTATAGGCCAGCAGGGGAAGGGGTCACCCTCAGTCTGAACATAATCGGACACTGTAGGTACAGTAGTGCCGAAGTGGTTAGCCGTATAATAAAGTAACCAGACATTGCCGGTCCAGCAGTGTAGACGGCAGGAGGGGGTCACCCTCATATAACCAAACCGGGCATTGCAGATCCAGCAGTGCTGTAGGTAAGAGGGGGTCACCCTCAGTGTGGTATCATAGAGGTCTGTACACCCAGCAGTGTAGTCAGCGAGAGGGGGTCACCCTCATTATGGTTATAACGGGACCCTGTAGGTCCAGCAGAGTAGTCCACAGGAGGGGGTCACCCTCAGTATCTGCGTATTGCAGGGAACTGTAAGAACAGAAGCTCAATCAGTGGGAGGGGTACCCTCTTTTATGGGAATACCCGGACGCTGCAGGTCCAGCAGTGCAGACTGCAGGAGGGGTACCCCCTCGGTATGATAATAGCAGGACATTGCCGGAGCATTAGTATAGGAAGCAGGAGGGGGTCACCCTCAGCATTAATCTTACAGGACGCTGTAGAGCCAGCAGGGTACTTTATAGGTAGCCATGTTGCCAGAGGGAGGGGGTCACCCAGCCCACAATGGTGTCACACATCCATTATTATGGTCCAGTAGCAGGTAGAGCCCCAGAAATATGGATGGGGGGGGGGGTTCACCCCCCAGTAATAACAGGTCTGAATGTGGGGCCAGTAGCCCCGCTGAGGGGTAGGAGGGTCCATATAGTGAGAAGCTGACTCACAGACCACTCAGGTATTATATTAGGATACACTTTTGAAGTGTATGTGTAGTGGAAAATCTAAGTCCCTTGCAGGAAGGGCAGCAAATCCTAGGTAGGGGAGCTAGGTGCTGAAAAACAGGCCATTTAATTTTTATGAGAAAAAGACTGAACCTTAGAGAAAGACTTGATTAGCATATAACACATGTGGCATGTTCTTGTTAAACAAAGATTTTTATTTGATCAGTAACATGTCCCTTTAAATCTGAGATTCACATGTAATAGTAAAAAAGTGTGACAAGTCTACTGCTAAGATAGAGAACCTAGTCACATTGCATCAGACATAGTAAGCTGCAGTTGTGAGTGTGCCTGGGACAGATCCTGCTATCCAGGATCTGTTACATATGCAGCATGTGAGACAGGCACAGTAAGTAGAGGGATAGCTGAAAAACTGGGCTATCTCCCCTGATATAGGGAGAGGGGAGGGTGAGACCTGGCTGTTTGCAACGCACAGAGCCCATGTGGCTCTGAAAAATGGCTGCCGCGGCTCCAACAAAATGGCTGCCGTGGCTGCAAAAACAGAGCGCAGCCTACCGCGTGGTGATCGTGCGGCACTGCAAGCGGCCACGGGGAGCAGGGGGGGAATAAGGGAGAAGGGTATGGGCGACAGAGCCCAGCAGGGGAACCCGGGGAGGGGGAACAGATTACAGGCAGAGCCAAAGCATCATAGCAGGGGACACCCATTCCCCATACAGCAGAGTGAGAAAACAGAATAAAGTAACCCAGAATAACAAAAAATCAATGAGCAGTATCCAGAATCTATCAGATAAATTGCCTAAATACAGCAACAGATGTTAAGTGAAACAGCAGCTACATAGCATGAAGTGGTATAGGAAATAACACAAAATAAACTGCCAGCAATAAACCCAGCAATAGACTGCCTAGCTAAACACAGCAATAGACTGCCTAAATAAAACCAGCAATTAAGCTGCTTAAACAAACCTAACAAATAGACTGATTAAATAGACTGTTTAAATAAACAAGCAGCATGTAGGATAAAACAACAACCAAGAGCAGAGACAACTCTGAGTTGGTGAGTGCTCACCTGGAGGCAGCAGCAAAGAAAGAGGAAGTGGAAGAGCCTGCTTAGGGGTTTTATACTACTGTTGCTTTATTCTGATTGGTTGTTTTGAAAAGTTCTGTTAACTGTTTCTTTGCTGCTGGAGGTTTCAGTAAAGAAGGTAAAGCAAATATGAAGCCTCCTGTCCTGCCATAAAATTCAATGTTAACTGTATACATGTCTTCTCAATTTAACTTAAAGAGACACTATAGGCATCTTGTTGAAGATTTCTGGGTGCACTATCCCTGTCCCCTTAGTTTTTAAGAAACTGCAATGATTACTTTGCAGGACTTAGACTGCCTCTAGTGACTGTCTATTAGAAAACTACTATAAGCACTTCATGGATTCTAACAGAGTCTAACGATCTGCATGAGTGCATCCAGCGTCAGTAAAAAAAAAACATAGGAAAGCATTGTGGGGAGGGTCTAATTAGAACATTAGGACCCCCGTTGGATGATGTCAATGGAGGCAGAGTGCGACCCAGCACCAAGGGAAAACAGCACTTGAATTGGGTAAGTGACCAAAGAGGTTTTCAACCCTTTATGTGCTGGGAGCACAAGTGATGGGGGACCCGCAGGCACTATTGTGTTAGGAGTACAGCTTTGTATTCCTAACACTATTGCATCCCTTTAAGGATTCATTAAAAAAACAGAAGATTGGAAATTATTGTTAACAATAATTAACATTTTTGTAAAATATTTTGAGCCATTGATATTGGGGAATTCACTCACAGCGTTGGGCTTAACGGACCACTCTAGGCACCCAGACCACTTCAGCTTAATGAAGTGGTCTGGGTGCCAGGTCCAGCTAGGGTTAACCCATTTTTTCATAAACATAGCAGTTTCGGAGAAACTGCTATGTTTATGAATGGGTTAAGCCTTCCCCCTAATCCTCTAGTGGCTGTCTCATTTAGAGGCGCTTCTCACTGTGATTTTCACAATAATATAAAGCTTTGTGAATGCTTTCTATGCTGAAAATGCGCGTGCGCATTCCGACGGGGAGAGAGGAGGAGGATCGGAGGCAGAGAGCTCCCCACCCAGCGCTGGAAAAGGTAAGTTTTTAACCCTTTCCCCTTCCAGAGCCGGGCGGGAGGGGGTCCCTGAGGGTGGGGGCACCCTCAGGGCACTATAGTGCCAGGAAAACAAGTATGTTTTCCTGGCACTATAGTGGTCCTTTAACATGATAATGCCATATTGTGTTACTGAATCCCCATTTTTATTTTCTAAGATTCCCAAACCATTTCTGCAACAAGCCTCTTCAGTTGAACTCTGCAACTTTAATGCCCAATTTCCAAACCATCTCTGTAACAAGCCTCTACAATTCTACATATTCAGTGATAGGGGTTAAGTTTGTATTTTATCACTGTTTGTCCCCGGTTGGAATCCAACACCTCATAGTGGTGCATGTATGAGTCTGATGAGGATAGATGTTTGTGGTAACCGTATGTACACCAAGGAAAAAAAAGGCTAATTACAGAAAATCCAGATCAACTGATTTTTTTATGGTTTGGAGCTGCATGCATTTGTGCCAGATGGATTTGAAAGAGTGAAGAAAATTTGGATAGCCAAAACTCCTGTTTTTTTAACAACAGATTCTAGATGTATTACCCTGCCAGAGTTTCAAAAAAAAGTCTCCTTTTTATTGTTTTATTATTTTTTATTTATTATTAGATTTTCAGAATATATTATTATTTAAAAATATAAACAAAAAAAACCAAAACATATATCTAGTTACGTCATTGTTTTATACACTGTCAAAGATACATCAAGATGCAATGTATCTTTCAAGCTGCTCTAGTGCTCCTTGTACAAAAGGATTTAACAATCTATTCATAACATGCATTAGTTATGCTTGATATACACTGATCAGCCACAACATTAAAACAACCTGCCAAATATCGTGTAGGTCTCCCTCGCGATGCCAAAAAAGCTGTGAAGCATCGTGGCATGGGCAGCACAAGACCCCTGAACATATCCTGTGGTATCTGGCACCAAGACATTAGCAGCAGATCCTAGCTGAACTATGTCTTCTTCCCATAGAGCATCCTGCTGCCATGTCGTCTCCAGGAAAATAACACAATCACAACTGGCCATCCACCTTATGTAAAAGAAAATGTGATTCATAGACGAGGTCTCTTTTTTACTTTGCTCCATGGTCCAGTTTCAACAATTACATCCCCATTAAAGGACAGAAGTCATCATGGACCCTCTGACCAGCCTGCGACTACTCAACAAACTGCAGTGAACTGTGTGTTCTGAAACCTTTCTTTCATGGCCAGCATTAAGTTGCCCAGCAATTTGAGCTACACAAATTTTTCTGTGTGATCGTACTAGACGGGCTAGCCTTCTCTCCTCAAAGGCATCAATGAGCCTTGGTCACTAATGACCTTGACACCGGTTATTGGTTGTCCTTCCATTCACCACTTTTGAGAACATCCCACAAGACGTGCCATTTTGAAGATGCTCTGACCCAGTCATCTAGCCATTATACTTGCTTGCTCTTGACTAGAGTGGGTTTTTTTGGTGTGTGCTCACCCCTTAAATATCCAAACTAGCAGTTGCAGCAATACCAGTTTATTTTTTGTTTGTTTGTTTATTTGCTACTTTAGGTCAGATTTCTGTACATGTGGAATGGATGGAATGCACAGTGGCAGTATTACCAGGGATGCAACGGTGACAAGGCCATCAATCACTAGGTTCTGCTGTCAACTGAATTAGGCATTTTACTTACTCATCATGAAAATGTTGATCCAAATTCCCTGCATTAGAAATTAACTCAGCACAGTAGATTGATGATGCTTGCACATATTTTATTACTTGAAGCTCTTTATAACACTCAAACACATCACACATAACCATGAATTAACTTTTCCTTGGCAGAGTGCCTGACTGTGCATGTGTGTGTGTCGTTGGGTCATTGAAATTTGATTTGGTCTGATGCCCCTGGTATTTTTGGCACTTGGCATATGCCACTACAGATAAAGTGCAGGGTCCACTGTGCAAGTGCACCTAGGTCGGGTACCACTTTTGAGTAGAATGTATTCATTGCCAGACCCCTGACCACAGACTCAGCTTTATATACTAAAGGTTGAAATGTTGGGAATTCAAAGTAAATTCAAAATGCATTTCAAATTTCGGGCCACAATAGCCATTTTAATTTTGATTATTCTTGTGTAAAATTTGATATTCACTTTGAAATCACTGTTATTACCAAGCAATTCACACTTTAGTGAATACCTGTCTGTATGAAGGTATGGGCATATGCATATACCTGCATTGAATGCAGGACACAGAATGTGGTCCTTGTGACTTAAACCATCTCTTTCTTAGTGATAAATTGTTCCATTATAAAGCTCCAACTGACAAAATAAACTAATTCACCTTTTCCACATATAGGATCAAAGTAGAGAGAAATTCATCAACCCCTGTCTATTTTACAAGGGATCCCTGCTCATTTTGTAAAACTGATCTCTTTTTTCCATTACTTAGAGAACTTAGAGGAACCATTCTGGTTTTATTTTCTTTGACTTATTACTATGGGTTTACAATTTATCTTAGAGGGACACACTGATAGGGTTATTCACTAAACTAAAACCGTTACACATTTAACAGGTTTATTGCACTTTTAAGACTAATGTGACTAGTGGAGCTGGTAAATAAATGACTTGGAAATTGTTTCTATTTTGGCTACTTCGAATTACAATTTATAGTTTGCTGGTGATTTTTGACAATACTGTCTATCCCTGTTAACATGCTGCAAGCCTATATGCATGATGAAAGGACACTGCCTTTACCAATGATTTTAGAATGTCTCCAAAAGTTCAACCCTTGATGTTGTAGAGGGAAAAGAAAGTATGTCTGGAACTTTTTTTATACTCGGTCTGAAAAAAAAAAAATACCTATCGGATTTAATCCCAGAACTAAGATTAAAGTGTTTTTTTTTTTTTAACAAACAAACATTTGGAAAAATGCATTTAGCTGGTTGTCATTTTGGATTTACTCCAAACTTAATTTTTATTTCAGCTTAACGTCTGTAGTTAAAAATCAGCTGAAATACTTTTCATTTTTTTTAACTCGTCTATTATAGAACTTTCTCTTGTTTCTTTTAATGCCCAGAAGCCAATATTAAAATGTGTATAATATGAGAGTTTATGAATTATCCTAATTCTATTTTAAGCATATACATCTTTGTGTAGAGTTAAATTACATTCCAAATAACAAATGCTACATATTGTTGAATGTGTATCTCTTAATATTTTCTGAAAAGAGAGGAGAGAGAGGAGACATAAATCCATAAACGAATACTTTTACTTAAATGACTAAATGGAATTTTGAAACTAAAGGAAAACTGTCATAATATGTTTTTATTTTTTTTATTCTTTATTTTATTCGTGCAGAGGTTAAACATGTGGACTTGCACTGCCACAACATCTGGTGCAACCAGGTTGTATATATAGTTAAACACATGGCATTAAAGATAAACATTGCACTTTTTTTTTAAGGTAGATTAGTAAACAGGGTTATGTCTAAATCGTTAATAAATGAGGGATATACATATTTGTACAGCATAAACAGGCTATAAGAGCAATGGGAGGTCCGGAAAGTCGTCCCAGTTACGCAAAAATAATGTGCAAAATACATTTTCAAACTACAATGTAAGGAATGCTAGAACTGCTGATACCAGAGTGTTCTACATTCTGCAGGTGATATTTGCCTGTCCTGTCTTGGTATCCCCTAGAGGGCAAGCATATTGATGTGTACATTGTGCTCTCGAAGCTGCTATCCTGTGTACAGGCTAACTAGGCTGTCTGCTCAGTAGTGCGTGCCACATTGCCATCTATCGTATTTGCGTGCCCAGCTGTGTCTTCCGCTCAATGCTGCTCTGGTGTGTGGTAGGGACCTACTTGAGGTAACTATCTCTCTGTACCGTCAATTGCATGGGCTGTGAGTGTTCAAACCGGCATTTGTAGGTTTGGGTATTAAGTGTTTCTCAGTTGGTTCTCTCTGCTATTGCATTACCTTTTGGCCTCTGCATTGTTGCTGAATGCCATGCTAGTGTCTAAGTGGTACAGTTCTTATGGACCAGCGCTCAGTGGGCATGTCGGGCTTAGTGTGCGCATTATGTGCATTGCTGCCTTGAGGCCAGAAAGTTAAAGGTGTAGGTAAGGGCTGATTCGCCGCTCTTGTCCATACAGTGGACAGCGGTCTGAGGTGGGTGGCTCTATGGCGGGGGATAATGGGGGGTTGCGGCCATAAGGGACCTAAACCTTTTGGTAGGCATGTAGTGCCCGGTGTGATGTGCTTTTTTTTTTTTTTAAATAATTCAATAAAAATGAGGAACATAAAACATAAAATATTGGTGGTAAGGAAAGCCATCCCAATCATATTTAGTTCCGATCAGAAAGTCCCATGGGTCTTCACATGGTGGCAGTTGCATACGGTTCCATTGTGGGTCGTCATGGGGTGAACGGGGCGACCCTGCTTGGGTCCCAGTTGTGCGGGGGCCTATTAGCGGTTTGTGGCTGGGGCTTTAGTAGGTGGTCCTGTGGTAGGCCTAAGTCCTTTAGGAGTGCGCAGTATGATCCCTACTTATGGATGTAGTGTAGCTTCTCAATGAGTTAGTCCTTATGGCTTATGATAGAAGATCTCATGGATATTACAGGAGAACAGAATTCAATATTATAGTGTAGTATGTCAGCCATGGTTTATTATGTAATTAGGTAAGTATATATGTACTAACGTGTAGTGGAATGCTTCTCACTCAGGGATATATAGGTAGTGTAGGTCCTCTCCATATGAATATGGAACAACAAAATAAAACAATACAGTGCACACCGTATGTGAGCGTATACAACCAAAAAGAAACGTACTTACATAATGCGCAAAATATGAATTGCTCAGTCCTAGAAGCGTTGATGGTATATATCCCCACCAAGGAAATGCTGCCAGGCAACAAGTAGTAGCACATGAAGTTGCAGGTTAAAAAAAGTACCTTACTAATGTAAAAAAAAAAAAAAGAATTAAAAAAAAGAACTAATACACTAACTTGCTTTACTTTTTTTTCGACTTTATCAAAGTGTTTGCACCTGTTCAGGAATGGTTTGAATATGACAAAGAGTTCAAGGTTTTGCCTTAGCCTCCAAATTTCCCAGAACTCAATCTGATTGAGCATCTGTAGGATGTGCTGGAACAACAAATCCAATCCATAGAGGCCCACCTCGCAACTTTCAGGACATAAAGGATCTGCTTCTAAAGCCTTGGTGCTAGATACCATAGGACACATTTAGAGATCTTGTGGCATCCATGCTTTCATTCATCAAAGCTGTTTTGGCAGCAAGAGAGGGACCTACATAATATTAGGCACGGTGGTTTTAATGTTGTAGCTGAACAGTGTATGTAAGTATGAAAATAGTTTATATGGGTTTCTTGTAGACATATATTTGAGGTGGCTGCTTTATAAGCCTCATTGAAAAGCAAACATTACTTAATCAGACCGTAAAGCAACCTTGAGTTCATAGAAAATATTGCCCTTTTGAAGGGGTATTGAACATGTTGTGTGGATACCTCTCAGATGTTTTTTCATACATGGCTTCTTCAGAAGGATGTTTTACCTTTACAAGTATAAAAAAACAAGAATGGAAAGACAATGGAGCGACAATTAACAAAGAGTTGGAGGGAAACCAACATAAACAATATTAGTCATAAGGTATCCATTAAATTATTGGTATAAGATGATGCATCAGAGTTAGACTGATTATAGGACCACTATAGTGCCAGGAAAACAAACTCATTTTCCTGGCACTATAGGGTCTTTGGGTCCCCCCCACCCTCTGGGTCCCCCTCCCGCCGGGCACTAGGGGAGGAAGGGATTAAACGCTTACCTTTCTCCAGCACCCGGCTCCCTCGGAGCTGGGGAAATCTCCTCCCTCTTCCGACGTAATCCGCTGAATGCGCATACACGGCAAGAGCCGCACGTGCATTCAGTCAGTCCATAGGAAAGCATTTCTCAATGCTGTCCTATGGACGCTGGCATCTTCTCACTGTGAAAATCACAGGGAGAAGCGCGGAATCACCTCTAGTGGCTGTCAATGAGACAGCCACTCGTGGATGGATTAACCCTATTGTAAACATAGCAGTTTCTCTGAAACTGCTATGTTTACAGCTGCAGGATTAACGCTAGATGGACCTGGCACCCAGACCACTTCATTGAGCTGAAGTGGTCTGGGTGCTTATAGTGGTCCTTTATCAGATATTGCCAATGAGCTGTGTCTGGAGCTGGCATCTTCACAATCAGGCCTCAGTGTGTATTTATATTTGTTTATTTTATAAGTGAATGGGTTGATGGCTTGACATGATCTCTGATATATCCCAACACTTAACTAGGGTGAGCGAGGACCAGATGGAAGTAGCGGATTGCTTTTGCTGTTGCTTGGGCCTGTTAAGCTGAAGAGCTACAAGTAATAAATCTTTAACGTTCAGACCATGCTTCAAAATTGGGGCTTTTTAATATTTTTAAAAACAATCTTTCAAAGTAACTCCATTAGATCTTGAAATTACAAGAAATAATGAGACAAAAACAACTACTTTTTGCTGTGCTGTCCTGAAGAAAGATAGCTTAGACTAACGTAGATAATTTGTTGTATTTTATTACCAAGTCCTTGCAGTACCATTTGTTTACAAGTGGATAGTCTGCTTAACATTGCATCGGGCAGTATTAAGTTGAAGCTCTTGGGTGCAAGATTTTTGGGTGATTTTATATATATAATTGACCACTTGAAAGAAAATAGTTTTGGTTAACATATTTCATTTTTTTTTTTTTTGCATCAGTCAATGGATATATTGCTTCCTTCACACACTCTGTAATTCATACAGTGTGTACTTTTCTTAATCCTCACTCACAAACAAATTCTTTTACAGGAGTGAAATGCTGAACTGAGCTTCAATTTCTCGGTGAAAACAGGATGTATTAATAAACATCTAATGATATGCTCAACAAACACAGAGTCCTCTTTAAAATATTCCAACACATCTGTTATATAATGTAGGTTTACCACCTGGTGTTAGAAGAGTTAATAGAACGTTTACCTTGGCTGGACTCTAAAGCTGTCGCTCTTTTTATAGGAAATAGTGTTGGCCATTCCTTTAAAGAGCCTCAATATAAGTTCACTGTGTACCCTTCTTACTGGAACATGCATGTAAATTCAGAAGGTTATTCAGTTGGAGGCACACCTACTTCATTCCTTTACATTTGAAGTCAGCCGCCTAAGGAATGTAAACTTGCATTAGGAGCAAACCCTCAGGTTAAGGATTACCGTAAACCACTCTAAAGAATTCCAGCATGACCACCGAAATTTATACAGTGGCAAAACCTATGAATAGAAAGTTTGTATAGCCTATGAATATGGATAGAATACATCACTCACAGCTGGATTATGGCAGGCAATTAGAAAACACATTGGTTTTAGAAAATAAAAATAAAAAGAAAGATTCAAAAAGAGAGTAAACACCTAGGTTGCACTAGAGAAACAAAAATGTGAAATAGTTTTGAGAAAAGGAAAAACATATTTCCTTTCCAGAATATTTGAGCTGCTGTCACTGTGTATAAGTAAAATCCCCATCAAATTATTAATAAAGGAGGAGGACGTTTTCCTTTTCTTTTTCTTTTTTTTACGGTTCCTAAACTGTGGCCACTTTCTTCTTTTTTCTCTTGTAATAATTATGTGCAATTAAATATATATATATATATATATATATATATATATATAGAAGTGATCAGCAAATTTTGCACTTTCAATTTTCACTGATGTAAATAGTTTTATGACATTTTTTTCCCAGTGGCTGTAGATCTCCTGTTGAATACATGTTATAGTATCCTGTCATCTCCTTTTTGACCGCCGGGGTGCGCTATGATTGTCATGGTAACACCACGCTCAAACCGAGTAGGCATGAGGTTTGACTCAGATCGGCGCCTGGACACGCGGGAGCAGCCAAAGAGATGTAAGCGTCTATGGTTGTCCCAGCGACGTGTGATGCCTAGCCTATTGGAATACTTAGTGGGCTCGGATATACAAGACGGAAACCGGAAGTAAATGTGAGCAGGTTGGCGGTCTGTGCGACCCTGGCGGCAAATGAGGATCACCTGTATGTGAGTACCCTTTAATTTGTATTACATATTACATATAAGCTTGTTTCATTTTAATGTTATTTGTGTATCCTGATGAAAGCTCTGTAAGGGAGCTGAAACGTTGATGTCATTGAGAATAAAGAAGATTATACTCTGGAAAGCTTTGGCGTGCCAGTATTTTTCTGTATATAAATATATATACAAATCCCCTGCACTCACGTTTAAAGTATACCACTGCCGGGCACAAAACCAAGGCTCCAATAGATAGAGAATCCAGTAAGGGAGGCTGCTCTCCGGACTTAAAACTTTTTATTATGACAAGTTAAAAATGACGACCATTATGTAATTTTTAACTTGTCATAATAAATTGAAGTTTTAAGTCTGGAGAGCAGCCTCCCTTACTGGATTCTCTCTCTCTCTCTCTCTCTCTCTCTCTCTCTCTCTCTCTCTCTCTATATATATATATATATAATGATAAAGGCTGAAATATCAGCTTGATCTTATATAAAGAACTGAATATTTGTGTTAGGAAGAAGACACATGAGTTCAGTCATATACTTTGATTTCAAGGATATTTTTGGGTCTAAGTGGCAAAGTTTCCTTATTGTATGTATATAGTTAGATGCTTGACATTCCATTTTCTTTTGAAGATTTTCTATAGTCTACTTGTTCTGCATTTATACCCACACTTCATTTTCACTTTAAACTTGCTAGAGGTGGGACCACTCTTATCTCTCAACCTTGACTTATGTATTTGCTTACCCATGCAAATTAATTTTGTACTTTCTATATAAATTAGAAAAATGAAAGCCAAGTTAGATGTGCAGAAAGGTGTCAATCATTTCATGCTCATTGTTGTACACAATAATGATATACCCTCTTGGAATACCCTTGCTGTGGTTTGTTTGTGACTGAAATGATGCCTATGTCTGTATATGTACACTTGAGTATGTATAATAAATCTTACTAGTCATAGGTACAGATACCTATATGCACGGTTGAAGTGCACTTATGCCATGCAGCAAATGTAAGGAAAAAATTAGCTTTTTATAAATACTTGAAGAAAAGACCATTTCTATTTTTAAATCAAGACTTTTCCCATCATTACAAGATAAGATGTAGTAAAGGTCTAAGGACACAAATAAGCCCATGGTGATAAGGCCATGGCTCTGCAAACAGTCAACACAATACAATAATAGCCAGTGCAAACCTTCATTAAGGTGCCAAATGAAATGGCTGACGTTTCTAACGTCACCCATTTGATTTGCAACCTTAAAAAGGTGCTCCTGCTTGAAGTAAGGTTTATGCGGGACAGTTTGTTTTTTTCATGGTAAAGAGATAAGTATAGAAAGGGAGATGAAGTACATTCAGTAACCAACAAGAAAGACGTACCATATGCTTTTAATGAGGAACATGAGACAGAGAAGGCATATGTAAGAATGCTGGAACACATTTTTGAAAACTTTACAAATATAAGCACGCAAAAAGTACAGGTAATTATTTATCAAACAATATCATTTTTGTTGTTTCCTCAATTATCCTATTGAAATCTGTATATCCAGCATGTTCACACAAAGTGTTTAGCATGAAGTTTGTGAGCATGCAATCTATCTGTTGTAATTGAGATTTTATAACATGACAGGAGGCTTCATATTTGCTTAAGTCTCTCTTTACTAGAACTCCACAGCAGCACATTAACATAGAGAGAAAAACACCAGAGACAAAAAACTCAGGAATCCATAAAAGGCTTCTCTCAACCAACTAATTCCTCTTTCTTTGCTGCTCTGCAGACAGTACAGGTCAGAGTACCACTGCCTCTTGTTTTATATGGGTGGTTGTGGGATATATTCTTTTACTTCTATTTGATCTTTTGATTTGTTTTCAAGATTTGATTTGATTGTATGGTTTAATTTTCATGCTTTGAGTGTATGATTTAGTTTTCATGATTTGATTTCAGAATTTGATTGTATGACTTGCTTTTAGGATTTGAGGTTAATGATTTGATTGTATGATTTGATTTTCATGATTTGATAGTGTGTTGATTTTGGGATTTATTTCATGAGGTGAAGTCATCTATTGTGCCTTTTGCAGGTGTTTTCTTCTTGCCTGCTCTTTCTACCTCCCCCCCTTTTTTCTGAGGGGGCTGTATGGGTGACTTCCTCCACCCTTCTCCCTCTATTTTTCCCTGCTCTCCTTGCGGGCATTTTACTTTCGTTTTCTTTTGGTTCTTTCTGGCTTCCTTCTGTTTTCTTCCTGTTGTCGTTCTGTTTTCCTAGTGGCCGGCAGGGAGTGGTTCAGTACCGCCTCCCGTCTTGTCCAGCTGCCGGGACCGCGGAGAACGACTCCGGCGGTCCCACGTGGGTATCTCACTCGCCGCTCTTACGACGCGTGGGAACTGCCCCTCCGCCTGTCTTCCTCCCACACTCCCCGTACCGCTGGGAAGCAGTTATCTTTCTTTTCGTGGCATGGTTGAGATGACTGGCCACGTGGGAGCGACGGCTTCCGGCCTCGTATGGCCTCCTCACACCGCAGGGCCCTCTGTCTGGGTGCCGGTGGGGAGGCAGGTTGTAAGAGTTTGCCTTTTGGAAATTCTAATGTCACTACTATAAATATATTTCTGGAGCGTTCGGTTTGAGCCCTTTAGAGTAAGGCACTTCATCTCTTCAACCTCACTTTCTCTGTTTTCCTATGGAAAGCTGTTTCTTTCACTCTCTTTTACAGAAGAGTTGGTTACAGTTCACAGAGAGTGTTAGGCACTATTCAACTGAAGAGCGTTATCAACACAGTAGAATGCTATGTACAGCTACACAGTAGAATGTTGTGTACAGTTACACAGAAGAATGCTATGTACAGTTACACAGACGAATGCTATGTACAGCTACTCAGAAGAACGCTATGTGCAGTTGCACAGAAGAATGTTGTGTACAGTTACACAGAAGCATACTATGTACAGTTACACAGTAGAATGCTACGTACAGTTACACAGTAGTATGCTATGTACAGTTACACAGAAGTATGCTATGTACAGTTACACAGAAGTATGCTATGTACAGCTACACAGAAGAATGTTGGGTACAGTTACACAGAAAAATGCTGGGTACAGTTACACAGAAGAAGGTTATGTACAGTTACACAGAAGAAGGCTATGTACAGTTACACAGAAATATGCTATGTACAGTTACACAGAAGAATGCTGGGTACAGTTACACAGAAGAATGCTGGGTACAGTTACACAGAAGAATGTTATGTACGGTTACACAGAAGAATGTCACGTGCAGTTACACAGAAGAATGTCACGTGCAGTTACACAGAAGAATGTTATGTACAGTTACACAGGAGAGTGTTATGTGCCATTAATCTGAAGAAGTGTTAGGTACATCTTCTCCGAAGAGTGAATTGTACAATTAATCAGAAGAATGGAAGGGCAGTTTATCGCCTGTGCACCCCCGTAGGGCCTGACTTGTCTGTGCCCCAGGATTTGGCCGGCTTTGTCCGAGCCGTATTGATCTGGCCTGCATTGTCTGTGCCAGAATATCTGCATGCCAAGCCTTGCGACTATATACTCACGCTTGGACATTGCATGCACTGCCAAATTTGCCTCTGTCACTAGATGGGGTGCTGCCCCAATGCTGCTGCCGGTGACACTTGTCCATTATACCCCTAGAGACCGCCATGCCCCGGACTGCACCACTGTCAACCCTTCATTCGGGGGAATGTACACAGGCGATGCCTACCACAGCAGCGACCACCTTCTAAAGAAGGCAGGAGACTTGAAGGAGTCAGAGGAGGGCAGGCAAGTGCGCATAAGTGCTACTGGAAGGGTGAAGGCCCTAAGCCAGACACCCGGAAGATAGACTCTGGAGAAGCGTCTAACCCCGATGAAATCGGACTGGATGACACTGCCTATAGGGAGGCGGGTCCTTTGGACACGGCAGTGACCACCTTTTTAATAAAGTCAGACGACTTGAATGAGTCAGACTCTCCTAGAGGAGAGCAGGCAAGTGCGCACAAGCGCTACTGGAGGGGTGAAGTACCTAAACCAGGCGTCCGGACAAATTAGACTCTGGAGAAGTGTCTAACCCCGATACGATCGGCCTAGGTGACTACACTGCCTAGGTGACGCAGGGGTGGTAGTCCTCGTGACCCCACCACGGCCGCCCTAGCTGTATGGCGGGCAGACCGGTCCTTCTCGGAAGGAGTGGACGATGGGGGGGTGGACTATGATGAGTGGCACCGCGGGACGGAGAACAAGCCCACTACAGGGGCTCCAATGACTGTGGAAGGAGAGGTCGTCTCGTGGGTCGCCTTAAACGAACCCCTGTGTGACCCTCGACCAATTGCTCATTTCTTCGGAAGGTTCTCGGCCCGGGCACCTAGCACCATCGTACCCAGACTTAGATCCCGATGGGGCGCTACGGCTCTCCTGGTGGCAACGCCTGTCTAGTATACAGGAGATCTGGAGTACGGCCCGCTGTGGTGCATATACTCTACTTTTGGTTGTCCTACGGGACATACGGGGAAGAATATTAGTTCCCAGTTTTCATATGAAAAAACGTTACAGAGACATATCTAAAGCTCCAACCCGTACCTGTTATAAGGGATTGGACCCTGGGCCCGGAATGTCACAGTTGCCTCCACCTTCGGATGACATAACAGACGGGACACCGAACCTTTGGATTGCAGGAGACCCTATCTTGGTCAATTCGGACCACTGGAGGTGCTTGGGATCAAGGGATCTGAGGTTTTTGGAGCCCGCACGAGACTACGCTTGAAGGTATAGCCATTAGTTACTTTGAATTAGACGCGGTCCTCAGGGAACTTCCAGGACCGCGGGGCACATTCCTGGTAAGGCGGGCTCAAGTTTCTCCCTGGCGAGATAAGGACCTGGGGCATCATTCATTTGGACGATAATACAGCCTGGCTTGCAGGTTTGGATGAATTTAGGACGTTCAGGCATACCAGAACTATCCGAAGAGATCCTTTTTTTTCCACAAGGACGTTTCGCGGGATGGTCTACCCGGACGGGCTGGCTGGATCCTCGGCGAGTTGCCCCCCAGACCGAAGGGACAGACGCTATAAGTATATATCCCACAACCACCCATATAAAACGTTTTCCTTGTTTGGGTCCCTGGAGTTCGTGTTCAAACGAGGAATATTAACCCCCTCTGCGGCTCGAGGTGTAGAGTCCCAGAGGGTGGTTCGGACGCAAGGGGGTACCTCCTACATTTCCCCCCTATCCGAGTTTCTCATACGGTTGGAATAGTTTTCCGGGAAGACCCGCCGTCAAAACCTTAGCCCACGGAGGAGGACCCATTAAGCTCTGTCTAGTTTCAGCCGGCATACAGACCGGTTTGCTCAGTGATGGACGTTTCCCTCCAGGGGTGTTCAACAGGGAGACGCTGAGGAGGGCCCCTCCATTGTTGTTTCCAGGATCTTACTACAAGTGTCTCGGTCTGCTGGTACCTTGGTTTTATGACCTTCGCTTCGGCCAAGTCGAGACTAGTGCCCGGATTCCCTGGACCTGTCCCACTTGATCTCGGGGACGGTAAGACATTTGCCTGCAGGGCGACCATGATGGAGTTGGGTCTAGTACGGATTAACAGAAATTTTGCAAACACTGTTACAGGGTTCGATTATTGTTTGGTCGTTTTATTGACCGGGGACTGTTGTATCACTTAGATTAGGTAGGGCGTACAACTGTTTCAGCGGGTCTCGCTCTGTTGGTATCTTCCTTCGAGCTAGACATGTGGGTTCATAGGGGTGTGAGTCCTCTCAATTCCCGAGGACGGGTATTCATTTCCCCAAGGGGTACACGCATTGTTTGTCATGCCTCAATCGCTGGTTTTCAACGGTTTTTGTCCATCTCTGACTCTGAATTTGTTCCCCTTATCATACCCTTTTTTCTTCTTTCAGATGGGTTCAGATGTTCGGACCTTAGTTGTCGATCGGCTCTAGTCGGACCAGAGAGTTATACTCTTGTGTTGGTTGTGCGCACCTCTTTTTTATGTTGTGATCGACACCACCGTTTGTTTAGATGGTTCTTTTCCTTTTCTTCGCCCTTCATGTACCGCCTGGTGGTTGTTGGCATTGGTGGGGCGTATAGGTCTTTCGATTCATTTCAGTCGGTACTCGGCGACTTCAGGCACCATCATGGCGGGCGTTTTTCTCCAGGACATTGTACACTTTCCTGCCGGTTACAGGAACTATCTTCGCTAAGTTAGGTTGGTACGGCGGATCGTGTTTCTTTGGGCTTTGCTGTCCGAACGTTAAAACAGCAAATATGAAGCCTCCTGTCATGTTATAAAATTGTAGATTATACTAACTTTAGTGGAACTATAATCTTAATTTTATTAATGACAGGAGGCGAATATTTCTCTCCCAGTTTCTCCCTTCCCTGGTTTGTGGGTTGGTTTGACTGACTTTTGTTTATTCCTGGTCTCCTGGGCTAGGTTTGTTAATCTGGGGGAGTTGGGGTTTATCTGGGATATGGTACCGTCAGTATGTTATGATGGGGATTCATGTTTTCTCAATATCTTGGATAGTATACTGTCAGTATTGACGATGGGGATTCATGTTTTTCTCAGTACATTTCATTCGCTAATCAGTGTTTTCGACTCTGTTTATCTCGTTTCAGTTTAATGGTTCGGCTACAGTTCTTAGATCCGACTACTCTACAGGATAAGGGTCAAGGGTTCATCCACTGGTTCCACGTTTTCTATTTCGGATGACATTCATCGCTATTTTATATTGTTTATCTTGTTATTGTATTTGTGGTGTATCGTTCATGTACTTTATTTTGTCGCAGCGTGAAAGAGGAATTAGTTGGTTTGGAGAAGCCTTTTATGGATTCCTGAGTTTTTTGTTCCTGGTGTTTTTCTCTCTATGTTAATGTGCTGCTGTGGAGTTCTAGTAAAGAGAGACTTAAGCAAATATGAAGCCTCCTGTCAATAAAATTAAGATTATCGTTACACTAAAGCTAGTATAATCTACAATTTAAGACAAGAAGATGCATGGGAGGTTTGAAGGTGAGGCATATGAAACTACTGTTTATTTTGTTATATAAATATGGAAAATTAAAAATAACTGGAGGACCAACCAAGTTTTTTGTCTTGTCACTATTTCTTTTTCTATATTTCTTCTCTTTATTTTCAGTTATTTAGAGATTGACAACAATAAATATACAATATATTTCTATGTATAAATTTGACAATCTGTGTTAATAAGTGCATAATAAACATGTAAAAAACAAAAGGAAAGTATTAACATAGTTTCATGACAAATACAAACATACAGAAAGATTGCAGGGGCCGGGGCCCGATCCCACCCCTGGGGAAGTATATAACCTAAGGGTTTATGTCATATTTTTTCTTTATTTTTCATAAATTATTATTATTATTTTATTATTTATATAGCACCAGCAAATTCTGTAGCGCTGTACAATGGGTGAACTAACAGACACGTAATTGTAACCAGACAAATGGACGCACAGGAACAGAGGGATTGAGGGCCCTGCACAATGAGCTTACATGCTAGAGGGAGTGTGGGGTAATGAAATAGGTTGCTAGAAAAGTAATCACTGAGAACTTAGTAGGTTATTTTTGACAGTTGCAGGAGAGGAGTCATGGGGGCTAACAGTTTTAATGAAATGCTTTCCTGAAGAAATGTGTTTTCAAAGATTTGGGTGAAGGGCAGGGAGTTCCACAGAAAAGGTGCAGCCCTGGAGAAGTCTTAGAGAAGATCATCAGATGTGGGAGTACGGACAGAGGATAGGCGTAGGTCTTCGGCAGAGCACAGTGGCCTTGACGGGACATATTTGTGTATTAGGGAGTGTAACGGAGCTTCCTGTACCCCGATTGGGTACCTCCGCTGACGGATGCTCCTAGTACTTACCAAGGACTCCAAGCACTCCACCAGACACCATCAGCACCGCAGTCCCCACGTCCAGCGTTACAGCTTGGTTGGGAACTCGCCGTTTCCTACCCACCCTGGACCTATGACAAGGCTCCAGTGGGTGAACCTCTCTTCCTCCAGAGAGTCAAGCAGGAACAACTCTTAAAAGAGCTAAGTGATTATAATCCCAGAGGAGTATAGTGATATAGCAATCCCCTGGGTAGCTGCAGCCTTTTCCCCCACACATGAGACAGAGACTGTTGAGGGTAAAACAGAAACTCAAAGTTTAATGGCACACACTTGTCTTTTATACAAGTTTTACAGCAAAGGTGATGCCCAGGTCGACCTAGTTGGGCAACGAACACAAAACATACAAGCCAATAAAAACAGAAGTTTACATTCAGACACTCCCATACAGCATACACAATCCCTCCCCTTTGCCTGTGATACAATTAATGAAGACAATGGACTAACTCAATTAAATTTAGCAGAAAAACATACATTTTTACAAAGTCTGAAAAACACCCCAAAACATAACATCCCCTGATAGCCCTGATCTGCGTGAACAACATATCCAAAAATCACCCAGATCAGAGCAGGGGTTCAAAAGTTTAATGGAAGTCTCTTTTGACCGACCGCACACATGATTTCATGCCCAAAACAGTTCCAGGGAAATTGGCTGTGCAGCCGGTCTATTCCAATGGCTAAGTTCACTTTGAATGCACGTACAGGTGCCGTTTGTGCACAGAGTCCATGTTGAAGTGCCGTTCGAATTATCGAACGGCGTTCGAATCCAGTCGTAGAGTCAAAGTGCAGAGAAGGTAAAGTTTCAGCGGTGTTCATGCCATCATGTGTCCGATTTGAGTTCCATGAACTCAATGACAAAACACCGTTGACCTCGTTTGACTAAATAAAATGGCGGCTGCCACATGTTCGAATGGCGAATGGCGACCCCTTCGACTACTTCGACACTGCGGCTGTTTTCGAAGTGCCACTTCAGAAGTGTAAATCTGTTCCAACAGTATTTAAAGAGGCAGAAACAGTGCCTTACACCCAAACAAGTCACAGGGGCCATAATCACAGGGCAGGAGGCTGGCAAACAGGCCTCTCCAAAAACCAGTGGCGAGGTCATTTTCGCCACAGGGAGTATAGGTAGGTTGGCGCAGTATTATGTAGGGACTTGTAAGCAAGCACCATAATCTTAAACTGAGCCCTATATCTGAGTGAAACATACAAATAGGTAGGAATGTACAGGAATGGATAGTGATTTTCTAAGGTGTAAAATAGCAAAAAATACAACCTTATAGTATGGGAACGTAATTTGCAGTGTCTATAAAAAATACAAACTGCACATAGTGTGATCAATGTATATATAGAGAGAGAAATGCAATGCTAATGAGGAAAACTCACGAGGTAAATGAGTGTCAGGCCCATCATCCTTATTCAGGTGAAGTCTTCATTATAGTATTTAAGCAATCTTCTTGCACTTAGGAGTAAAAAGAAACCAGAATATAATGCAGATAGAACTTAAAATATAAGAAATTTATTACAAATGTACTTACAAGAAAACAAAATAAAAAAGCATGTATACACTTCCAAGTGGAACAGACATGATGCAGCAATGTAAGTCCCCAGCGTCTGTATCCTACACGTTTCATCCTATGGACTTTCTCAGGGATATTCTTCCTCTATTGTCAACCTTTGTTTAAATATGCCGCTGAAATGGAGAAATAGATTCCACCTGAAGTCTATTCGCGTTACGTGCATGTCACGCTAAGGCGCATATGCCGATTCTGCGTCATTTCCGCTTCCTGTCTGGCGACTGCTTCTATGCGTTCCAAGATGGAACGCAACTATATGGGCTCGATATAGAGATTGAACAAAGGGCAAAAACAGAGGCACCACGAACACAGAAAAAAGGGGGGAGGTATCTACATATAATTGGGACCAATTCCTACAAATATAGTCTGATCTATAAAGGATCAGAAAAAATAAAAAAAATATATATATTTATTTATAAAATATTTTACCAGGAAAGATGCATTGAGATTTCTCTCGTTTTCAAGTATGTCCTGGGTCCACAAAACATTGCATTGTTACATTACGGTACAATAAAATACAAAAACAATATTAATTTACAATATATACAAAATTTACCATAGAACAGGTTTGGAAATATATAATCACCCATGACATGTGCATTCTGTTTTGAGGAATGTAGAGAGGGATCTCTTAAAGGACTCTAGGCTTGGGGAAGATTTTAAAGTGTGCGGGAGGTCGTTCCACAATTGCTGCGCTCTGTAGGAGAAGGAGGATCGAGACACTTTCTTTTTGTATTGAGGTAGACTAAATAAAGTGTTGGTACTAGATCGGAGGTTATAGGAGGTGGGAAAAGCTGAGGAGAGCATTTTACTCAGGTAGGGTGGAAGTTTCCCAGAAAAGCTCTTAAACATAAGGCTGGAAAGATGAAGGGTGTGTCTGGATTCCAGCGACAGCCAGTTTAGTTCTTTTAGCATGTCACAATGGTGGGTCCAGTAATTGCATTGTAGCACAAATTGGCAGAGCGAGTTATACAATGTATTGAGTTTATTAATGTGGGATTGCGGTGCAGATGCATATACGACATTCACATAATCAATGATTGGAATCAACATTTGCTGTACAATCTTTTCCTTTACTGCAGGGCTTAGGCAGGATTTGTTTCTGTACAGGACACCTAGTTTTGGATAAAGTTTAGATGCAAGTTTTTCTATGTGGAGGCCAAAAGATAGATTGGGGTCTAACATCATACCCAAGTATTTGAAAGAGTGGACTGCGGCCAGTGTGCCATTTGAATTTGTTTTGATGGATAGGTGGGAATTGTGTAATTTGTGTAATTTAGGTAGATAATAATAAAACATTGTAATAAATGAGAAATATGTGGAAAATATTATGAAAAATATAAAAATATATATGAGTCTCAATCATAGTTAGAAACCTTTTACATTTTTGTATATTATAATACATTGCAATACCATAATATGTTCTAATATAAGGAATATATTCTCTAGTTGAAAATTCCAACATAAAAACTTTTAATATAAAAAGCAATAAATACTCAGTCATCCGAGAATACAGATATAGGTTCCAATTTAATACAAAAAAAAATCCCTCAGAAACTATAACATTTAAAATTAAATATTAAAATAAATAAAATTGAACAAGTATATAACTCCATGAGTTGCAAAAGTCCTCAGAATGTTCTGAAACTAGAAACAAGAATTAGAACATTTGAAATGGTATATATGTAACCATAGGGAAATATAAATCACAGAAAAAATAAAGAATGTGAACTAAAAAGGCGAAAGGTGTCCCAAGCCAAAACATATAGAAAAAAACATATCCAGAAAACCCAAAAAAGGAGTGGATGAATGGATAAATCTTATATAAAGAGAGTATAGCTAATCGATCTCACTTTAATCAATAAAATGCTTTAGACTGATATTTATAATATGAATAATGCCATTTTAAATTAATCAGATCAAAATCAATATTAAGGCCCTATTTTAGGGTCCTGAGATTATAGATCCATTGTGCTTCTTTTTTATTTAACTGCATAGATCTATTTCCTCCTCTCCAATTCTTATCTACTTTATCTATCCTAATTGCTATAAAATTATCCAATGTAAAATGTGGGCATGAATTACAGTGTTTTGGGACACTATGTTCTGTTTTTTTTTGGTTCGTATGTTATAGAAATGTTCTGCCAACCTAGTATGAAGTTTCCGTATAGTACGGCCTATATACTGTGCTCCACATCTGCACTGTAAGAGATATATAACAAAAGTTGTGGAACATTGGATGAACTTCTTTATTTCATATTTTTTTATTGGTATATGTACCTCTGAAATCATATGTTGTTTTTTTTTTAAATTTACAAGTGGAGCACTTTCCACAACTATAAAAAACTGTTAAATGAAAAAAATTGGAATTGAGTTTATTGTCATGTAGTAGACTGGGTGCTAATTGATTTTTGAGATTATCTGCTTTTTTATAGATAACCATTGGTCGTTCTGGAATAACTTTTCCCAATATATCATCTTTTTTCAATATATGCCAATGTTTTTTTAAAATGTTTTCGATTTTTTTTGGCCTGGGAATTAAATTTAGTG